CATTTCGAATAGCGTCGCAATGAAATTTGTATCAAAGTTGGAAAACATTGCGTCTAATTTTCTCCGATTGGTCATTAATCAAATTTTAACATCCAGACCAATAAAATGTGAAGTTATAAGGCTGAAATTGCGATTTTATGAATTAATACCGCACTTGTGCAGCCGATAAGTTAAGGTGTTTTCCTGGTCGGGCAGCTGCCTTTCCATAAATAATGTTTTATTGATCATGTTAAATTGTAATACGTGTACTAAAATCCGCATATTTCAGGCTTAACCCCCGCATTATGGCGTGTTGGTTTGACGAATTAAAAAATTACTTATTGAAGCCACTCGCAACAGTGAGATTTTGTGGTTGATGGGTTTATTGTGGGTTTGCCTTTTTGGGTGAGAATGTAAGCGCAAATATTTATTTGCGTTTTTCTAATCGTCGACAATCGGTGGAAAAGTGCCAGGCATTTTGAGTTATTGTCAAATCGCCACTCGATCTTTCGGTATTCAGTAGCGTGGCACGAAATGCGTTCGCAAGTCCACAATGACAATGGTACATTTTTTGCGTGATCCGTTTTCCATTTTTCGACATGAAATTCTATGTACGATATTGATTTCAATAAGCAGGTAGCTTGTTCTATTGTTCCGATTGTTTTGCGAAGAATCAGCTATTTTTCCATCTAAATTGAATTCAAAATTACTGTTGAATCAGCATAGATTTCGCTTAAAACGTGACGGTTTTGGTTGAAAAGCCACAAAAACCTGATTAAATTTAACTAAGCTCTCTGTTTAGTTGAAAGCAATTAATTTGCTAATTTCGTTTTTTAATCGATTTTATCGGTCGTTCCTCGAGTGAATCTAGGCAAATGCAACATCATTCAAGATCAGGTACTTTCCATCGGAATTGCCTAATCAAACAACTCCGTCTTAGTGTCTTAAGCCAACATGGCTTAGCTGGAAACAACCGCGATAACAAATATTTAATTTACTCCATATAAATGACTGTCAAATATTATAATTCATGTTCAAATAATTAGTAATAAAACAAATTAGCGATTAAACAAATTAAGCAAATATTTCGTAACGAGCCGAAGTGTCGAACATGGCTAACGAACGTTTAAATGGAGGTAATTTGAGAAGGTTTTTCTTCTACGAACGTTGCATAATAGCAAAGGAGCTATTTTAAGCCAAATAAGAAAAATCGAAAAGTGAAAGTTAATTGGTAAACAGTCGAAAATTTGAGCACACTAACCGAAAGACGGTAAATGTGAATTTTTATGGCAGTTTTAAAAAGCAGAACTATCTGAAATTGAAGTACAAAGAATGTGATTTTAATAGTTTGCAACAGATGAAGCTGACAAAAGGGAAGGAAATAATCATTCTAAGAACAACGTTTTCGAATTATTGAACCATCATCAACTTTTGGGGTTAAATAGTGATGATTTAAACCAATTTGTCTAGTCGAAAAATGGGTCGTTCTCTGAATGCAGAGCTAAACAAGTTACGATTATTCTACGTCTGAACGAATTTTTGAATCGGTAGGCTTTTTAGGGCAGGATTAATATTTTTTTATTTTTTCAGCAAATTGAATGGGGATCCATGTAAATCCACTTGAAAAGGATTTATTTGTTTGTCGCCCCGTCATAGGAACCATTTATGATCCGATTTGTTTTCGTATGTGTATTTTTCGAAGAAAAATCTTCTGGTAGAAATCTCCATTTACGCCTTACAAAAATTAATGCAATCGAAAAAGTTAAAATGGATCTGCGTTCAATTTTTTTCGGTTTTCGCCCTGGAAATCTTTTTTTTTTAAGTTTCAAAATAACTTTCAATAGGGACTTTTTGAGCAGCTTGAAGCTTTTAAGGCTTGATGCGCATCTGAGGTTTCAAAAATTAGTGGGATTTTTCCTTTGATTTGAGGTGCGCGAAACTTTCTAACTGCAGACCAGAATACTGCAGAAAATTCTTAGAATTGTTGCCTGCTTGTAGTGGAAGCATACGCTGATGCATGGAGAAAGTTTCAATGAGTTTCAACTGTAAATACATTTTGTAGACATTTTCCAACTTGAGTCAACCGAGTAGAAACGAAACATTTGGTACTCGCTCGATTTAAAAAATCGTCTAGACTAAAATACTGCAGGAATTTGCAACAAGTTCTTGTCGCTTATAGGCAAAACACCCGACAAAGCCTGGAGAAGTCAAACTATTTAGTCTTCGCTTGATTAAAAAAATCGTCCAGACTCAAATACTGTCGGAATTTGCAATAAATTCTACTGGCTTGTAGGAAAAACCTGCGCTGATGCATGGAGAAAGTTTCAATGAGTTTCAACTGTAAATAAATTTTGTAGACATTTTCCAATTTGAGTCAACCGAGTAGAGTCAAAACATTTGGTACTCGCTTGATCAAAAAAATCCTCCGGACTAAAATACTGCCGGAATTTGCAATAAATTCTACTGGCTTGTAGGAAAAACATACGCTGACGCATGGAGAAAGTTTCAATTAGTTTCCGCTGTAAATAAATTTTGTAGACATTTTCCAACTTGAGTCAACCGAGTAGAGTCAAAACATTTGGTACTCGCTTGATCAAAAAAATCCTCCGGACGAAAATACTGCCGGAATTTGCAATAAATTCTACTGGCTTGTAGGAAAAATATACGCGGATGTATGGAGAAAGTTTCAATGAGCTGCCGCTGTAAATTAATTTTGTAGAAATTTTCCAACTTGAGTCGTCCTAGAAGATTCAAAACATTTGGTCCTGGCTTGATTTAAAAGATCGTCCAGACCACAAAAATGTAGGAAATTGCAAGAAATTCTGCCTACTTCTAGGAAAAACATACAGTAACGCATGGAAAAAGCTTCAATGCGTTTCCGCAGTAAATTAATTTTATATAAATTTTCCAACTTGAGTCAACCCAGTAAAAAGTCCAAAAAAACAATAAACATTCCAATTTCAACACCTTACATCCAGTTAAAAGGAATGTTCATATAAACTTTCTACTTGCTTTTGTAGTGCTTTAGGAGATGATGGGTAAGGAAAAATCAACAAATAGAAACCAATTGCAAATAAAAAAAGTGAGCAAAACTTTTAAACTGACTAAAATCGAAAAAATCGGAAACATATGCGAACATATATGCAGCTTGACCAAGAACAATTTACTTTCCCGAAAGACAGATAATTAAGAACTCATACCACGTGCTCTGGAGGTTTCACGAACAACCCATCAATGTATATTAATGAAAAGTTAGTTAGTGGTAGGTCTCGCAGGTGCTTTTCTTCATAAAGCGGCCGGCTCGAGGGAAGTAGAATACGTGTCTTGTCCACTACTGCGGAAGTTCTATTAATTACCTTTTAATATTCCGTTTTTCAGACGCACCACGTGTGTTATTAAAACACTTTGAGACCGTTTAAACGTGTGTGGGAAAGTTCCTCAAGGGTCATCCGAGTGCATTAAAAATAACCTTAACTAATGTGAACTTTCTCTCATTTTTGTCAACCATGTTTCTTCCTTCTAGTTGCTCCCCTTCTATTTCGGTTTGGTCGGCCAGACTGCCATATCGAAAAGAACTAGCTTAATAAAAACAGTAACACAACATTAAGAGCCATTAAGAACAATGGCGCTCGACCATTAATATGTATGAAAATATGGCAGCCCACGCGGTATTAAAAAGGTATTAACTTATTTTAATACGTCTTTGTATCTATGTGGAGTGTCGGTCGTGTGTCAGGCCTTTTGATAGGTCAAAGATAATTTTTTTTAATTAGTTTCATTTCAGTTGCGTTTCCGCTCGGTGTTTTGTCCAACCTTTCAGGGATCAACAACGTAAATATCTCCGAAGAAAAGTTGGTGCAGTCAGTAGGTGGATTTGTTATAGTTTAAAATATGTTCGACTTAATTGGCGATCAAATTTCTCGTTGCACCGAACACAAGCCCCCATTGTCCAAATGGGGGCCTAATAAGGGTCAACATGTCCCTCACGTGGCGATAAAAGTCAAAATTGCTTAAATTTATATCCTTCTTTGAATGCTGGGCAACTCGAGCTAATTCTCACGTTAATCGGCCACGGAACAAAGGCGTTTTAGAACCAGAAACAGAAACTGATACTTTGGCGATTTATTGGTTGCGGGGGTTTGTTTGAAATGTACACTAATGGAATCATGCAGAGTTGAAGAACATTTTAAATATCAAGAGAGTGGACTGTATAACATGAGGAAAGTTAACAGTGCACAACGCCAACATAAGAAGATTGGGTTGCAAAAGATTGCCAAAACCATACAGAAAGTTTCTATTGGAAAAAATCACGATTGCATGGAAAAACAAAAATGAGGAGCCTCCCTCAAGGATCCCCCTTCTCACACTTTCTCTACAGCATATACTGCCATGACATATACAATTACAACTTACCAGACAAAAAACGACGTAAGGTACCTTGGGATAGCAATCGACCATAAACTCAAATTCACTAAACACACACGAAACATCAGAACAGAAACGATAAAAAGTACAAAACACTTTCGATCACTAACAAACAAAGACAAAGGAATTAGTACCAATACCGCGACAAAAATATACAAAGCGATCTGCAGACCCCTCTTGGACTACGGACATATACTCATGGCCAACGGAACAGAAAGGACAAAACGATACGTACAAACAACTGAACAAATCGCACTAAGACTAATAACACGAATAAGACACCCCCAAAACCCCCTGCACAACCCTTCCAACCAACTACTATACGAACGCACAAACATGACCAAAATTTCGGAAAGACTAATACACTTACAGACAAAATGGACAAACAACCCTCACAACTGGACCATACTGAATCCCCTTTGCCTAACAAGACGGGCAAAACATTCCCGTTTTCGTACCCCAACAGATACTTTACTGGAACACCTACAAACGCAACTGAACTAACGACTAAGACCTATTTGTTTTGTGGTATATATGGTTGTGTATATATATATATATATATATTCCTGTATATGAAAAACTCTAGTTGGACTCACCTGATGCCCATAGTAATCGGCAGGAGTTCCACTGATTGCTGCGGCCATTGAATGGTGGCCCCTTAAATCCTCAGCTGCATCCGTCAAGCTTTCCAGATTTTGGTCCTGGTGACCTGGATGCGACATGCTCATATCAGGATGGCGCATGCTGCCGTGCATATCAACCAAATGGTCATGCTGTGTTGAATGGAGGTCGGACATGCTGACGCCCATCATCAACGGCGAAACGTGTTGATCCCAAGTTTCGTCCATTGTCTAATTGGCCGGTGGGAAAGTCGTAGTAATAGTAATTAGATGCGAGTAGTTTCTGCACACTCGTCGAAAATAACGACTTTTCACAACGTCCGTTTGAGGACAATTTTCGTTCCAGTTTAAAAGAAACCACTTTGCGTGTGCTTCAGTGACCCGTAGAAAGCAACGGGCTAATTTCAAAGCAAACTCATCGGCAAGTGGAGTGCTTTACTTGGAACCATTATCTATTTTTTTAATAGTGGCGATTCTGCAGAGGCTCGACAACGTCCCCTTCTCGCTCACGCACACGAGTTTCGAAAGTAAACTAATTATTCTTTGTTCCTTCTCTCGCTCGCTCGTTCACGGAGCTAATCAAGTCGCATTGATGATGACCACTCGAAAGTCAAGGGCCGTTGAGAACGTCAGTTGCTGCATGATGCCTCATTGTCGCTTTTTGTCAAAGTGGTGCTCTCGAGAAGATCCGAAGCACTGTATTCCACGTGCGACGTATTTGATCTGTTGACTCAACCAGTAACAGGTGGCTTTTGATTTAGGTTTTGTTAGTTTTCGTTGGCGGTTTCGTCCCGCATTCGGGGAAAAACTCGTGCTAACTGCCTACAAGAACAATCTGAAAAAGAAACGTTCATCAGTTGAAGCCAAATACATTAGTAGATGGACGGAGGCAGTCGTTCCAAAAAAGCCGATGTGTTGCGAGCAACATTGATTCAATCTATCTTTGAAAAAAACAGAATTTTTTCTCAACTTTTAACTCTCAAATGAGTTCGAGTTTCCAAACTTTAATTATCAGTTATATTGCAAGATGACTTGTTGACTGGTCATACTAATATAGGCAATTTCCAATATAAGTTCTTTCAATTGCGTATATTTGAGGTTTCAAACCTTTTCCTTTTCTGCTTCAACGTTTGTTTGTTCCATGTTAATTTTTAGGCGCATTTGGTTGTCGCTTCAATGCAACAAACACCATTTGAGTCAGTTTATTGGTAAAGTAATCATCGTGATCATTAATTTTGACTTACAGAAATCTAGTTTTTTGCGTGTTTCATAAAAACAGTTTTTATTCAGCACTATATTATAGGTACCCACTATGGGACCTTAAGTATCGTGAACACAGAAGATTTTTTGGGTTTAAGTTTATTATGTTAAATTTCAATTTGCCGCTGCTAAAACAAACTAGATTTTTGTAAAATCTGGACAGCTTTTAATTTTTTAGCATTTCTTCTCCAGCCATTCGTCCCTTTTGGGTTTTCAGCAATGAGTTCAATTAATGATCATCGGTTACGATAGCAAGTAGTCCATTTCTCCAATTTTTCAGTTTTGAGTCTTTTGCAAGATGAATTTTCGATTAAAAAAAGGAAAATTAGCACGAGGATCTTCTAGAGTAGTTTTCATGCGAACAACCAGATCAAGAGTTCAATTCATAATTTCGATCCATTTTGCCTTTGGAATGCTGCCTCTTGTACAAATTTATATAAAGCTGGTTTATGTTTGTGTTGCTGTTGATTTGACCCGATTTGATCCTATTTGGCAGGATTCTCTGATTTCTCAGAAACAAAGTGACAAAAGTATTGTTAAATAGTTGCTCCTATCTAATCTAACGACAATGTATGATTTAATGGTAAAAATAATTGAGCAGAAAAAAAAATCTTGAGGAAGTGAACGTTAATTGATATACAATTGATTATAATATAATAATTGATATATAAAAGTTCCCCAGTTTTGCACTTAAAGCAGATAAATTCGTCCATTTTTAGTTAAACTAATGGGTCAAGCCCCAAAAGAGCGAAATCAACGGCGAGCTTCTCTTGATTACTAAATTGACATTTTCCAGCGAAATTAAAGCTGCATTAAATTAAAATTAAAATCCGACAGAATTGGAAAATAGTCTAAATAAATGTATATGGAAATCAAAATAAATTCACAGTTTAAAGGAAAATATTTGCGAGGACTGAAAAATCTGCGGTTAAAGTGTGGTTGTTGCTCAAAGAACTTCAAATTTGGAAACATTATCAATATTATTTGTTATTTGGTCGATTGAGCAGCGTTATTTCCAGAAAGTTCAGTTGGAACTTAAAAAAGGCGTGTACACAAAGTTTCTTTTTAAACTGAAAAGTCCTGCGACTTTTGGGTTGACAAAAGACAAAATTATTTTGTAAAATTGACGAAGAAGGTGCAAATGAAGTGGCACCAGAGATAATGAACAAAGCATAGTAAAAGTGGATTAAAATATCAATATATCTGAAAACTGGTGAAATAAATCAATATTCAGGATGAAGGAAGAGAATATAGACATACTAAAATGTCAGGATCCTCTTCTATTGAGGGCTAAAGTTCTGCAAAAAATGTTTCTTTGAAATATCGAGCTGATGATTCAATGGATTTAAATGAAATTAGTAACCGAGTTCATCCGCTTTTGGCAAGTGGTGAACTCTTGAGTGTGTTTTCACAGAGTCACACCTTTTTCTATAGCGGCTGGAATCAACTGAGTTTTTTTGAGCTGATGCGCTAATCAATTAGGAACATTTTTGGTTCTTATAAATTCTTGTAAAATTCAGAGTTTTGGCGCTAAAAAATATTTCTGATTCCTTGTTAACCTTGTTGAGAATTTCGTACAATAACTGCAAAGGTCGTAGTAAACGATAAGGTTTTTTTTATCATAAATTAAAAGCGTTTTATAAGTATGAATTGACCGTCATGGTCTGCCGTCCATTGAAATTATCACGGCGAAACTAAATTTAGTTAATAATTTTTTAATTTAATTTAGAAATTTATTAATTGGCAAGAAAACAGAAATCATATTTTTGTGCAAACACACAAACACAGAATAAAAAATGTGAAAACAACAGCTACCAGATAAAAGGTTCGGGTGGGTTTGTACCATTACGCAAAGAAATCACCACTTGCCCAACACTCCAATTGGATGAAAAAACTCGGTTGCTTCATCAAAACATGAACCTGACGCAGTGAGTTTGAGTAAAATCCATGGTTTCATTCGCTCGAAATTTCAAAAAAACATTATTTCTTTGAAGAACTTTGAGCCGGACATTTTTTAGTAATAAAATTTAGGTCAGATCGTCTTCTTTTACGCCAAAGAATGTCGCAGGGCCCTTTTGATCATGTACTCACGGGACCCTGTAAAATGCTAACGATGACAAAAATAAGTGTTAAAAGAACGTGACTGAGTGTTCGCCAAATTATTATTAAAATGATCCACTAGAAATCATGACAAAAATCATGTTAAAATTGCGATAAACCGATAAATTAGCAAATATACGGGCAAAATACATGTACATTTTGCTGCCGCCTTTTGTCCGAATTAAATTATCTCAAAACTTGGTGTCTTCTTGAAATTGGACTATATGGAAAGCCCTTCGGCCCTTGTTGCAAAAAAGGCTCCTTGGGAATGTTCTCCCTGAAGACTGGAATATTTGCTTAAGGTTTGGTGCTTAATAGGCAAAATTATTTTTTTGATCCAACGCCTGCTAGCAAATTGAGGATGCAACATGAGCAGCGCCGCTCTTTAACACGCCGGAGTACATCAAGAGCAAAGCCTATGAATGCGGCTTTTAGGGCTTCATTATTGAACTTAAGCAGTGGAAAGTCGGCACTTTGTACCCTTTTTAGGGGGGATATTTTGTGACTAAATGCAAAGGGCAGCATTTTACATGGCTCGAGATAGAAATGAGTGAAAGATTGCGGCCTGATGGTCGAACCCGACCATTCTTACCTTTGCCAATACGACGATATCCAAGCAGTGCGACCAAAAGTGAAAACGAGCACAGTCCCAAATCACCCCGTCGGCACCCGGAAAACTTTTCGCAACGCCGGAGAAAAAGCGCGGGAATTGAGCACCGCGACGCCAAAAGGGCCTGATATACGCGCGTCTCGACGCACTGTGCCTGTTCTAATGTAATACCCGTTTACTTTGGTCTATACTGTATACCAATACTGTTATGCTCATATATCGTTTTAACCGTAGTAAGTGTATGGGCCTGATCTAGCAGGCCGCCTGCGTGCGGCCGAACGATTTCAGTGACCGCCCCATGCCCGCGGTGCTCCGCGCCCCCCCTTTTGCTGCCCCACGGGTCCGTCGACGTTCGAGGTATAATTAGGTTTTGTGTAATTGCTACGAGGAATCGTCAACATTCATTCGTTCAACCCTAAACTAAACCAGCAAAAAGAATAACCTCAGAAAAAAATCTCCTTTAGTTCAAGATTCAGCCACTGGTTTATACCTAGTTAGATTTGAAAAATGTTTTACTCGTCTGCGAATCAAGCAACCCAATGGTGATATGACGTCATATTGGATTCGTACATGTGACATTTTTCTATGTGACAGTCGTCAGTAAGGTTAAGTCCTGTGTATTCAAAAGCACAAGCGCCCCCTGGCAGCTAAATTTGACGGCAAATTAACTAATAACATTTGACGTTTAGTTTTGTTGACATTGACGTTTACATGTCATTGTGATTTATTTTGTTCAGTTTTTGCAAGCCTTTAAACAAACACGAACGTATTGAAAAGTGTGAAGTATTGTTTTAAGTTGTAGACCTAAAAACAAAGTAAAACCGTAATGCTAAACAAATTTGATGATTTTTTGCAATATCTTCTTCAGCAAACAAAATGCCCAAGTCAAGAAGCCTTAGTAGTTCTGAAATAATTAAGTTTAAAAAAAATGGATTAAATGCACTAAATCACGTTTTTAAACCGAGCTTTTGTTTCTGCCGCCCTTTTCCAGTTCTTGTAGCCTTCAGTAACACAACTTAAACAGCTGGTTCCACCTTATTTGAAGAAAAATCTACAAGGGAAAACGGAATATAGCATCTTTGAGAATAACTGGACTTAAAGCTACGAAGATCAGAACCATAAGTACTGTTTTTTAGAAAAACCTGCTAAGACGGGCTGGCTTGAAAGTTCGAGTAGCGATAGAGCCAAACCAATGTCTCCTTTTTCGTCTATATGAAAATATTTGGCTCTGGTCCTAGCAGGAAACAAGTACCCATATTTAGATTAGAAAATAATTTATTAATATTAAGTACTTACAAAATTTTTTTTTCAATTCCCGAAAATCTCGGAATGTTTTCACCTTCGCTATCATTAGTGTCAAATTTGATCTGAATTTTTTACTTCGCAATTATTTATATCGCTTTTAAAACCGATTGGGCGAGACAAATTTTGGTTGCGCCGCCAATGCGCTCAAGCTCTACGGAAAAACCGGCATTTAAAAGACCGATAAAATAGTAACGCAAGTAAACCAAATAGCGCAAACTGCATCGTCTATTCAAAGTTCTAATTCCATTTATTTATATTTTCTTGTTCTACGCAAGTAATTGACTTTGTCGTAATTTATTCAGCGGCCAATCAAATAGCACTTTGAACTATTTTATTACAAATCGGCCTATGAAAACGTTGCGTCTATCGCCCACCTTTGCTTAGAGAACATAAGGTACAGAGTGCGTTCTATCAGGAGCGATCGATATATTTCCATCAATCAAATCAAATTAAAATTAAATCAAAATATGCTTTATTGCCACGGAAAAATTCACAAATTTCATGCACAAAGCGACTGAAAAAAACAAATAAAAATACTAATTTGCCAACATTCAGTAGAACCCTCATAGTTCTTCGATTACAGGTACATTTCCTAAACCGACTTGACGTGAAACAGAGGCTCGTCTAAATTCATCCTGGAACTAACACATGAAGAATGTGAACAAAAACCCTTTCTGGGGTCACAACTTTCAAGAAATACAAAAACTTCGGCCATCGAAAGTATTTCAATAACTCTGATAGTCCATGGGAAAAATTCATGCTAAGTATACGAGAAACTGATTTTCGGGCAAAGTTATCCTGAAAAGTTTGCGCTGGATTACCAATAATTAAGTTATCGGATCACATTTTTTTGACAGGATTTTAAACAGTGAGATATTCCTACTTCAAAATCAGAAGAACGATGATCTTTTTAAATGATAGTTCTCCTGTCCATTTTCAAAGAGTTGGCACTAATTTTCGCGATGTAAATCATCCAAAATGAGGGATAACTCGTACTGGGCCCATTGCTTGGCCAGCGCGATGTCCAGACCTAAACCCATTGGACATTTTTACAATAATAATTTTTATATCATACCAAAAGCGTCTTTCATTTGAACCCATGTATGTCTTTGTTGTTATTTAAGTCATTCCGTCTCATGCTAATGCATCGGCCAGTCGAGTCTCGACACAAAGACAATTGCAAAATTTCGAAAAAAATCCATAAATAATTCAAGCAAATCCCGAACCATATCAAACCTCCGCAATTATCTACTTAACCAAGACATACAAAGCGACTTAAACCTGTCTAATTATGCGGCATTAAGCGGTTAATTGTCTTGCAAACGGTGAACTGGAGGAATCGCTTTTTCCCAAATTGAGGAAAAACTACTAGAAAACGTAATTGTCTCCTAATGTAAATGTCATGTTGCCGACAATATTTACTGGCTGGTTATATAGGAACTACGCCATTGTAATTTGCGTACGGTTTTCCGAACGTTTAAATTGGTCGGAGCTTTCTATGTAAAAGTGTAGAACTACCCGAATCCGCCCAAAGTTTCGCTTCATAATGAAATAATAAAAGAAATCCACGATTAAGACATCCTGCATATTAATCGGGCATTTGTGTAAATTGTCTGTCAGCAGTCCATAATTAGACGGTGTCGATGGTCCTTTTGTGCAAAATTTACAATGTGAGACAATGTTTTCATATATCTTAATTACCACCGCACCTCTTCAACTCAGGGCATCCGGCTGCAGCATTTGTATTATTGTAATTAACCTGCAACGTGGTTATTTAGCAAAATTTCCTATTTATATGCAGGACACTTACATATCTGACTCACCAGGGAGTTTCACTTCTATTAATAAATAAGGCGAAGTTTGTGTGTCCCTAAACCAACAAACTATTGATTGGGCTTTTTTGGCTAAATGTGCCTAACTGTAAAAGAAATGATGAATGTATTGCCCACGAGGGGCCATTGTATAAAATTAAAACTAAATACTCTAAACCGGCTTTTTATGGGGAACCACTTAAAACAATAAAACTAACAAGCAGTGTCGAGGTGAATGGGTTTAAAGCTCGGGTCAGAACTTAAACGATAGCCACCTTGAACTGTCTAATTGTTGCTAAACATAAGAGCCAGTTTTTTATGGCAGATTTCAGAAACGTGTTAGTTTAGATACACATTTCTACTTATGCGTAAATATAAATGGTTGGCGCAAAAGTTGAACTAAAAATAGGCCTTTTTCGTAGGTTATTTTGGGTACTTTAAGAACGTACATTGAGTGGAAACAAAACAAATTTATTTAAAGCGAGCTGTTTGAAGCCCTTTACTTGAAGTGTACTGCAGTTTTTCTTAGCAGGTATTTCTAAAATAACAACAAATTTACACAAAACCATAAAAACGGTTTGTTCATCTACCATAGTATCTATGTGATTACCATAATAAATCTGAAAACTGAACTAACTGAAAAAAATCCTATAGCATACGATTTACCTACCGTACCATAGAAGAGACTGTGAAAGGCAAGATCATTCACATTTATTCAATCTTTGGCCATAAACAATAAGAGACGACAAGAGATGGATGAAAATAATCTTTCATATCCGCAAACAATGACGAGAAAATCAAGGGCATTAACTGAATCAATCAAAATGAAACCCAGATAAAAAAAACTGGATAAAGCAGAAAACTGAAAGTGAAGCAAAAGAGGAGATATAACAATCCAAAATGCTCATAAATTGGAATCAAAACGCGTGTGTACATTTCTTTACTGATTTTTTGGGAAACCAAATATAATCCTTCACTTGACTCTTCTTGAACTTGCAACAGTTTTTTCAACCAGATCCGTTATTTAATGGTTTAATGGGTAACTACTCAAAGCGGACAACTGCAAGCGGTGTAAACGCAGCGAGCGAAAATCTGGGGAATATCTAGTAACTTTCGCTAAGCCACATTACGCAGCCTGCTGGCCCGTCAGCTGACACATAAACAACTATGGCCGCTCCCGAGTTAAGTTTTCAGATAGTGTACGAGTTTTTCGTGGAAAACGGTGGTAAAGTGAAAAACAAGGACGCTGTGCGGCATTTTAAACGATACCTGACGGATCCGGCAAGAAAAAGTATGCCTTAAACACCTGCCCGATGCATAAATATTTGCATAAATAGCCTCCGAGTGTTTGTTTTGGTTGACTTCGTTCATTCGACTTGTTGCTTTTGGTTGGATTTTTCGGCAATAATCACTAGTTTTTAGTGCATTTGAGGCAGGAGAAAGTTGTAGGAAGAACTCCCGGTGAACTGAAGCTCCCCATATGCATAGAAAAGGGTTTGGGTCGTCTATACTAAGAAAAATATCGGCGGTTAAAGATTGTGAATGCTCAAAAACCGCTTAAAATTGGCCAAAACTGTTGAGTATTTCGTATCTGAAGCTTCTAGAGTTGAGTTTGTCGCATTTGTCGCGTCCTGAAGATGAAAATGATGTAACATTCGAGGCATTTTGGGACTTGAATTTTACCGCTTATAAAAATTTCGGGCAAAAATCAAAATAAAAAAAAAATGGGTTTCTTTCGACATCAGGAGGCTTCCAATATGCATCTATAAAGTGTTTGGGTATATGGTAAGAAAGGTATCGTCGATTAAAAATCGTGAATACTCAAAAAGGCTTAACTTGGGCCAAAAATGTGGATTATTTTGGATCTGAGGCTTCTAGCCAATGACTTCGTTGCATTTTTGGCTTTCTTCAAATGAAAAATGATGCAGATTTGAGGGCATTTTGAGAGTCCAACTTTTTTCGATAAATCGACTCTACCCCCTTATAGGCCTGGGTAACTCAGTGAATTTTTATGTGAATATGTAGGTGTTTCAACCCAACGCACCGGCGCAGTAACTCAGTTCCGTTGCTGGGAAAATGATGACCTTTTTTTACTTGTTTGCAGATTTATGTTAACGGTCAAAATTATTTTGAAAATTCGCCGCCTTCATTGCTCTGAAGACCTAAAGTTTCTTTAAAATTTCAGGTCCTTCCAGTTTTGGCAAAGTTATTGTTGTTTTGGCAAGTTGATTAAGCAATTAATTCTACGCAAAATACGCATTATTTTTAGTTTTACTTAAAAATACTAACAATCTTAATACATTTTATTGGAACACTCACTTCGTTAACAGCATTGTAAAAAAAATCCGTTCGAATTTCGTGCAAAATCATGATATTTTTTTCTGGATTGTTTTCCAAGCTCCCCGATATTTCCCCGAACAAAACAAGCGAAACTTTATAATCAATTATTTGGGGTTTTCAATCGCGGTTTCTTTACTTTTAGGTCAATATTTCTCAACAAAACTCACTCTAAACAGAAAAACTCGGCTTTTCCTAACGTTTTACTGTAAAACGGTGGAAAACCCAGAGTCTTATGCAAAAAAATTAAGAGATCGATTTTACAAGAAAGCTCGTCGTCTTCGGGCCCAGACGTTTGGTATTCGTTATCGTCTTTTTCAAATACCCGTTTTACTTAAAAAATGTCCCCAATTTGCTTTTTTTCAAGTTTCAAGCTTAATTGCGAGCGAATTTATGCATCGGTTTGATAATCGCTTATCAGATGGCTGTTTTCATTGTCAACAATTAGGTACAGAAATGGTTATTGTTCCTTGTAAACACTTGCGTTCATTCATGAGAATGGAACTTGGTAGATAATTTGCGCTTTATGAATGCGTACTTAAGTCCTAGATTCCAAGCTAGGCACTATTTAATCCACAGGTGAAAAGAGTTGAAGCTGTGTTTGACTGTGTTTTTGAACTGGAACTTAAACAATTCTAATTGCAATAGTCAAAATCTTATATAAATCAGCAAAAAACTTCGGTGTCTTTCAAAAAACAGCCACTTTATTATTGTTTCAGATGAAAACAGACTGCGGTTCAAGGAATACGTAAACGCGTTGGCGCACACTAAACAAGAAGGTGACGAAAAAGTCCTTATCCTCAAAACCAAGTACCTAAACCGGCAAGAACCACCGTCCTCTCCTCTAAGCACCTCCAGCAGTTCTCTCAGCCTCACTCAGAACGACCCAAGAAACAATGTGGGATTGCCGAATGTTCCTGTTGGAAGTGGCTTCCAATCGTATGGCAGCACTACCTCACTTAATACACCGACAAGACAGCCGCCTCCTTATAGAAATCCGCCTCCAGTGGTGTCGCCTTCAGCTTCCCTGGATAGTATCAGTCTGAGCTCAGCGTCCACTCAGGAAGAGAGGCCATCGGCGCCTCCAAGGCGCCGATCAAACGCAACAGAAAGTGATGGAGCTCAGACTAGCAAGGAGAATAACCTTGCCAGTCCAGAGGATAATAAGGAAAACATGGAGAAAAGTGGGCTGAGTGTTAAGGAGAGGACGCAGCAATTCAACCGATTGGCTTCTGTGGAGGACGAGCTGAGCCCGAGGGTTCCAAAGAGTGCAGAAAAGGACCGAAACAAGAGCTGGGTAAGTACTCAATTTGTCAATTTCGACTCAATTTGGCTTGATGCTGGACAATGCCCCGTATAGTTGGCAGCTCATCAGTGCTCTTGTCAGTCTGTTGCGGATAAAAGAACATTAATAACAAAATTTACACAATACAAGTTCGACGGGGTTCCTATAGTCACTTGGCTCATTTAGCAACGCAAATTGCAAGTCATTTGACAGCCAATCATTGAAGAGAGTCTTTCTTACTGACTTTCTCATACGTTGCTGAGGTTAATTGAAGATATAGTTGGTGCGCTTAACAGTTTATCAATTTCTAACTAATCCGATTTAACCACAGTTTAGTGTCCATTCCACGCTCTCAATAATCCTGTCCGATATTCAAAATACATAATCATTCCCCAAGTTGATCATGGGTTAAATTGGGCTTGTAAGTGTTAAATAAAATCCCTATAACCATGCCGCAAAAATGCGCCGTGTTTTCCACACAATCTTTCATCAAATCCGCTGAAAATGCTGAACTTTTCCATTACGTAATGGAGTAATTCCCATAATGGAAACCGTTCATAGTCAAATCAACAAAACGTGTAGTTACATGCCATTCGTGATACGAGCAATACGATTTCGTCACGTTTTACCCTTAGTTTACCTCATATTAAAATTAAAATTTCAAATTGCTTTTTCTGCATCCACGATTCGATTGGATTGTTGAGGTCATTCGGTTTACCAGCTGGGTTTTTTGTCATTTGGAATTGAAAGAACATACTGTGTGAGAAGCAACTGTAACATTGGAAAACGTGAATCCAACCCCAACTTTTCCCCAATCACACCGTATACAGGGTGGTTTAGATTCTACTTGAATCAAGTCTTTGCACAGTTTCTCGCTAATTGAAAAACGGTGCACTGGTTTTTTCCTGGAAAATATCAAATAGTAGACAATAGAACAGTTGTTATTTTTTTAGTCAATAACTCGTTTCAGGAAAAAACTCTAAAGGGCCTTTTTGTTTCTAACTGAATGTAGACTTAAAACGCGACTTTGGTTTGCAAAAAAACCATTGGCGTGCTTTGTTTTTTTTTTCTCCAAAGTATAAAACTTTAACAATTGCGGCGCTTTTTTCATCCCAACTGAATAGGGACTTGAAAAATAATTTTTATTTAAAGAAAACCCTTTGGCGTGCTCTGTATATTTCCACAAGAAAACTGTAATAGTATATTACATAATAACAGCTGTAAGGAGCAAAGCAACAGAATGCTGAATTGAACAGAATGAAAACTGAAAAAAACCATACATTTGCAGAAAAACATAAAACCATTGGCATGCACTGTTTTTTGGTTCTGGAATGGATCAAACGCTAAATACTGCGGTAATTTTATCGGGCACTAACAGTTTCGATTTTTTTTTCAAAACTGCATTTTAGCAGGAAAACTCCCAAAGAGCTTTTTTATTCCCAACTGTATGTAGAATAAGGGTGTTTTCATTGTATCAAAAATTCCTACCAAACTGAACATTAATCATATATATATGAAAGATTAAATAACTTTATACTATCTATCTATTGCTAAATATAACTCTTAAATATTTAATAAACAAATTCAGCTAAACTTCAAATTATTCATGAATCTCTAAAACGCAATACTATTGGTTGTGACGTCTTTGATCATATAAATGGCGGATTGTTTACGTTCTGTGCATGTTCTGTTTAGTTGTTTGGCTGTGTTTCATTAATTATTTTGTGGATTTAAATAATTTATAGTTTGTGTTAAACTAAAAAATGGCTTCAGAAGGATTCCTTAAAGCGTCAACAAACAATTTACCATGTGTACATATTTTTACGGTTACCGAATTTTTAAAAAACGACGAACGCTTTAATTCAGACGAATTTAAGGGTGTTAAAGCAGCAGCGTAAGTAAAAATCCGTATATTCATTATTAGTTACTCTCTCCTTAATATACTAATCTGTCTGTATTGGTTTAAATTAGGTAAATAATATATAGAATTTCTCTTATTCAACTTAACCTAACCTATGCACATGGCTGCTTTAAAAGTAAAATGGACTCTTAATTTGTATTTTGGGTATCACGAGAACAATATGGTGATATCGGATATGTGGAATTGAAACTCGAGGGCTCTTTGTGCACTGTTCAAGGTAGAATTTGCTCAGAACTGCCTCATCATTAGCGTTTTGTTCATACTTTCATTAAAATGATCCTCGCAACAAAAAAACATTGATTTTGATTTAGGAACATCACGTCTAGCTGCTTTTAACCATAAAACTTTGCGTGCATAATCATGGGGAACGGTTAGAAAGAGTTTGCTTGGAGCACTTATTGAGGTATTATTGCATCCTGGCACAAAACACCACTTATTTTGTGATCCATTCATAAAATAGTGACATTTTCCATTATACAAGATAATAATCAATAAAATAATGTTAATCGCAATAACTTAAATAATAAAACAAAGCTGCGAAAACAACAAAATAAAACGAGACACTTTGTTGATATGACCTGCTACGTCACAATCGGGATAGGCAACCGACGATACGGATTCGACGTTTTTGGCGGAAAATATCTTATTTGAATTTAAATTCGCTTTAAAATTACTATGGAGACTTTTTTGCAAAAAAAATATATCAGTGTAATGTTTGCCATAACTACTTTCTGTATATCAACATTAAAAAAAGTGAAAACACTGATGTTGTGAACCATGTTGTTTCGCTCGCTGCTGGAGCTTGGAGGCTTTTGCTCTACAGAGGAGCGAAGTCACAGACTTTGGCAGTTGCAGCCATGATTGAACTGCCGCCACAACAAGCTGGTTGCATTAATTTATATCCGCGTTTTCCATGCATCTCAGAACAATAAATATACATGGTCACCCGAAAGTGACTAAGTAAATAGTGCTGAGGCAAGATGGCGCCGATGGAAGGGGCACGTGGGCCTCCACCGAGCTAATTTGTGTTCACAGCGGGGTTAAATAAACACATACAGACATGGTTAAGCGTTCCGATGACTGGGCACATTCTAAGCGAACGCATCATTAGTCATTTAGCGAGATACGTTATCTCGGTGACGAGGTGTACTTTTAGCGGTGATTACAACAGACTTCGTGCTTATTGAATTCGTTTCGCCATCTAAGGCCTACAGGGTGTGACTCTCGTCTTTACGACTGCGCCATTTCCGCTAGGCTAGTTTGCGTCTCTGTCTCTCTCCCTTTTTCTCCTCAAAACCAAATGGGACCTACGGAGGATCCAAACGTCCTTCTGTTGGGAAAGCACATTTACCCAAATAGTGCCCAGACTCTCCAGAATCTCTAAACCCCAACCAGCCAGCGCATTCTGGTTTGGTGCTGGATGGGATCTCAGTGCTGGGCACTTGAAAAATTCACCCGGACGTTCCTATAAAAGACATCCAGAACTTCCAGCGCGTTGATGTGAAAAACGAGACTGATCTCTTTAGCACCCTGTACAGGTTCCACGAAATTCGATATTCAATTAAATCTTTCAGTACCGTACCTTCGACCCGGCGGCCGAGTGACTGGGCGCCTCTCGAAATCTATTAAGTCGCTTATAAGCAACAAATTTAATAATGACCATGGCGAATGCTATTAAGAACGCTTAAGGAGATTGATCGATCAAAATGTGAGGTCGTATATAGCGCCCTATCGCAGACCTCACGCTGCGCCGCACAACCACGTGGAACTTTGTCTTGCACTGAAGAAGACTATTTTCTTGGTCAAAGTATTAACAGTGTCCATCTTTTTAGGACAGTGGTGAAGCTTTCTGTCAGCTAAATCACACCTTGAATCTCAGAGAATTTATGTGGCAGGAAGCATCAGATAGTTTAACAATGATGTTGCTCAAGGGCTGACTCTCATCCATGTTCACCTTAGGATTCTGAACTACTCAACACAAGATATACATGTAGGTAAAACTGCAGTTATTGCAGGAAAAACGTAGAGGGACAGGGATAGGGGATGATTTCGCACCATTGGTATATTTATATCCCGCGCATATTGAGCGATTTTTCGTAGCTGAAATACGGTGTCCTCGCATATGATAAAGTGGTGTTGCTAAATGTGCGGACAGCCGAATCACATACACATATATCGTCGACAAGGTGGATTTTTTCGTTTTTTTCGCTCGTAAATAAAATCGTCCCGCTCTCTCGCACGACCAATCTATAATTAGGCGATAAATCGCGTCGGAAACAAATGACGACAGTCGACCATGTAGACCAATAGCCCATGCAATTTGCGACCGACTAATTCCGCGGTAAATAATCGCGATATCCCATGACAAGTGTACGTGGGGGCTGAAAAACATAAATAAAAGAGGTGCTGACCCGACTGGGGTCTGGGACATTTTTCCTACCTCTAGCTGGTTGATCCCAACAGCTCATTTTCAATATCATAGGATTATTCCCTACGCTGCAATCAGGAAAATGATTTGACTGGTTCCAGATGGCCAAGTGAAAATGTAGCTGAAGCGCCATAGCTTTCAACAATGTTGTTCAATCATGTCCATAAAAATCTTCATGTCAAGACTGACCAAATTCAAGAACTAAAGCCGAAACACAAACATGAAAATGAGAGGTTTTTCAAGGAAATTCATAGATCTTTTGAAAAAACCGAACATAACAACTTCAATAATCCTTTCGGTGACAAAGGTGATATTCAGAACTAATCATTGTGACTACTTTAATCAGCATGTCTATTGCTCAGAAAGGGCGCAACCTCTTGTAAAAGTAGATGAATTCGGGTCAGATCCCCATCTGAACTGGCCTGAAGAAGCAGTTGAAATCAGAAAGTTCCCATACCTGCAAGCTCCAACTACAATTACAAGTTGAAACAGCCTAGCACCAGTCTTTCAGACATCAGGAGAGATCAGTTGACCTAATGGGTTTTAAAGAAGCAAAATTTTAATTAAGAGTTGGTGCGAATCATTCCTGGACTCTTCAACACCACCAAAGGGGAAATAACACCAACTATCAGCTTGCAGATCTAGCAGAGGAGAATCACTGGTTGTGAATGTGAATTTTGGCTCGAATATGTTGCTTCAATTGGGACAACCCAGATTGGAACTGCCACAGACGGTATAAATTTAGAAAATACAAATTTTATGTAATAGTCGAAAAAGAAACAAAACGTTCAGACTGAAAACACGAGGTTCAGAGTTATTTTAATTGCAAAAATATTCAAATTCGGGCGCATAACCTGGCGACTAACACGCGACGAAATAGTGGCGCATTCGATATACACCCTTTGGTCACACTACACTCCAATGAAATTAAAAAAGAACTTTGTTTCGATCGCGAACGGTCGAGAACAAACCTTGCCGACTTGGAGTCATTCAATGCGAGATAGTAAATTGGAACAACAGCCCTAGAGGAGCATTATTAATTATCAGCCACCCCGAAAATGTATCTTTTCGGCAAGGCACATCAATCCTTCACAACGATCATTTTCAATCCGGTTTTGCAAATATCTGTTTGAAATGTTCACAGATCCCCGAACATTAAACTGCCCCCGCGGGTATCGTCAGAAGAGCGACCTAAATTAAACCGCCTCCTAAATTATCAACTTTCGTTGTCAGATGCCATATGAAATTAAATTAAAATACCGAACAACTCCAGTGATACTCGCTAAGAGATACAATCAATGGTGATTTTCAAATTGTCAGGAACAAAATAGTAGGTGGGCACAATGTCATGCCAACACCATCCGGTTATTGAGCTGTTCTGAGCTGAGCTGAGCTGGACAAATGTTATTGTTTAGAAGTCGCTTTTGTGATGATACTCTGTTTAAAGTATTTTAGTAGAAAGCAAAATCAATTGCGAAATTCGCCAGTTTACTCAGAAACTTCAAGCTTATAGCCGACACTGGAAGTGCCACACAACGCACGTTGTTATGGTTTGCAAGTATCTTCCCTGCTTTTCTGTTCTTAAGTTTTTGTGCCATTTCTTCTATTTCTGTTTGTTGATTTTTTGTCTCTGCGTTTGTTGATATTGATGACCTTTGCATTTGTATTTCTCGGTCATCTTGGTTATAACAGGATTTCAGGTGGTTTATCCATGCTTGTTCTTCCATATGTTTCGGTGCTATCAGTTCTCTCATTTCCCTTCTTTGCCCTCCAACTACTCGCCATATTTCCTTCTGCAATCCATTTAACTCATGTTCCAGTTCTTTTGTGCACTTTGTTCCGCTTTTAATCTTCTAAAGCGTGCGTTTCGTTGCGGATTCTTTTATACTAGTTTTATTTAACTTCTCCTGAGAACCAGGGTGTTTTTTTATGTTGAAATGGTTTCTTGTTTCTACTTGTCGCTGTTGTGACTTTGCTGTGCTTTGGATGGATGGTTTGTTCCAGCTTTCCTCTATGTGATAATTTTCCATTATTTTGCTCTCAGTGGACCAGAAACTATCATTTACTTTGATTTATCATTTGGTCATGTAATATTGGCAAAGTACCCTGACTAAATCCCGACCATTTGCCCTTAATTTTTGTCACTGGCAAGCGGTTAAAATTAATAGTCCTGTAAATATGCGGCACGATTGCTCATTACTTTAATTCGGACATAGCGATAATGGTGCTGGTATTAGGCCTCTGGGAATAACGTGTCAAAAATAGTTTTTGATATGATTTAAAACGCTTGCACGTCACATGCAATATCGAGCGCCCATTATCAGAGTTGCTAATTAGCTGCGAATAAACTACTGGGCGTGGTTTGGCTAGATTGCAATTTATTGGAGATTCTAGAAAAAGCCCGAGTGCACCCAACACACAACAGAAGTACCTCGATGCAACACGGTGTTAATGTTGTCATTTTTTTCTGTGTAAAAGACGATCCGTGTCAGAAGCCGAAAAGTATTAAATTACAACCAAAAGCATTGAAGATTATCGAGTGGTAACGTAGTGGTCCCTCGAGTAGAACTGCACGATATCAATAAATATGTTGACTAACTCAAATTATAGGGTTTATCGCTAGAGTAATGCGATATACGTAAATCAATGGGATATTCTCAGACTTATTTATTTCTTTGGCGAATTGAACCATACAGGGTGCTTTAGGAAAATCTCCCAAGCGTGGCTGGATGTCATTCGTATGCATTCAAGAAGACACTGATTTTGTTCCTTTTGCTTAGAACACGGACAACTAGGTAAAGTTGCCTTCTGGGGCGTTCTTCTACTTCATTTAAAGGTTTTGAAGCTAGATAATTTCGTTATTAACCAATCTTCTTTGTTGAATTTGGAAGAAACCGATCTACAGTCACTTTGGCGACCTTTTGTTCAATGTTCACTGTTAAACAAATTTGGTCCTTCGGTCCGGATTGAAGTGAAAAGGATCAGTCACTCAATCATCGATTCGTAAGTGAACAAACATGACAAATGGTTCTGAAGCTCGGGGAATTTACGCGTGAACAATTTGGCTCTTTTCCTCTTAACTTTGAAGGAAAACTAATTTTTTCCATATTACTCTCCCATCCGGGGTTTTGTGTTTAAATTAACGAATTCACCCAGTACACACTGTGCTCGTCCCGTCTCTCTTTCCCTAACCTTTCTTAAGTCATAACTTTGATCGTCGATATGATCTTTTAACTGCCCATATTAAACTCGAGTTTAGCTTGTAGCGATATTTTAGCGTTATTTGTAACTGCGTGTCACAATCGGCCTATTGATTTACTAACTTGACTTTGCGTCTACTTGTCCTGCGTATAAATACCGTTTACTTATGGTATTCGGACACACGTGATGAAACCTGCTGATTTTTTTTCGCTTTCATATCGCTTATCTTTATGCTGTTTTTTCTTTACTTTCTTAATGACCCCTTAAGTCAGTACAACGATTGGAATTCGGTTTATCTAGATTTTGTACTGCTGTTACTTTAAATGGGGCAATTTGCATGCCACATTCGACAGAAAATCAATGGCTTTCATGTTTCTCTTCTAAAGCGTCGATCTCTCACTGCTTCTTTTCCCTTAGCTTCTGTTTATTGTTTGACACTTTTCTGGATCATTCTTGCATTTGCTTCGCTCTTCTTTGGCTTGCATTATTTTGTTGCTCATGCACGGTCTGTCTGCTTTGAAAAATTATTTTATTCTTATGTTCAGTCCGTCTTCAGTTGTTTCTCAATAGCGTTTACTTGTGCGTTCACTTTTCCTTTTTGTCAGGTTTTTCAAAACTGTTCTCATAAGAAATCGTTTGGACATTTTTGTAGCATAGCAGAGTGTAACAGCATATTTGTTCCATTTTTTCATTGAGCATTTTCTCTTTACTGATTTATTTAAGCCTGCAGCATTTAGTTTAGACTTATGTCCATCTTATCTCGTGTTCTTTCATATCTCTATTTTAATTTTTCCTTCTTTATCCGTTTCCATTCTTCTTCTTCTGCAGGTCCAACGTCCTGTTTGCATAGTTTAGATCAGTACTACAAGAAGTATTTTTCACATAATCTCACAACACCGTGTAAGTGACGAAGGATATTTAATCAACGCACCAGACTGATAATATTTTAATGTTCCATGTGATAACGACAAGCCGAATTTAAATATTAATTGTCGTGAGAGAGATTAGTGTTAAGACCGTTGCTGATCTATTTCTTTGGTTTCAGATGGCTGATGATACGGACATTTCTCCTCTAACACCGGTAAGTGTTTTTAGTTCCCCAGTGCATTTTAAAGGAATATTTTGCCAGCCACACGGGGTGGCTTCGTTAACAGATAATTAAACAAACCGTCAAAAAGACTAATTGAATTTTTCACGCATAAATATTGTCTAACGTACTCGTTAAACATCGCTTACGAACTTTTAATTTAAGGCCACAGATACGGATCTGACGATAAATAATAGTTGCCATAATAATACATAATGAATTAATTATGTCTATACTTAATATGCATAGAGCACTGTCCGATTATTAGGATCGGTACTTTTTTTTGTTTGTTCGGCCGTTTCACAATTAAAACGCCATAGACGCGGTTATTAAAATAATTAGATAAATTGCTAAATAGGCAAACATTATACCGAAACTTACGCGCCATTATAGGCTGTTGTTAATAATCGGACAATTAACGGCTTGAAACTTCGGTTCCAAATTGTAGGTTCTATTAATACTCACTCATGTGAATGAGGATCTTTGAAACAGTGCAATTAACCGAGCTGTTGGCCTTTGTTTGCTTTTTAATTGATGTTGATGTTGCAGCAACTTTGCAAAATGCGATTGAATTTCTCGAAAACTTCATTCTCTTCGACGCTCATTAAGTTATCATCAAAATTGCCATTTCACGACGAAGGTCACGAGTTAGATTCACTTGATCAGAAAAATTCATTGTTGTTCAACTGAAACTTTTATTTGAATTCGTTTCAATATGTTTAACAATTTTATTTGCTGATGTAAGTTTCTCTATATTTTCCACTTTCAGACTTTATGACACTCCTTGTAGGGTCTTTAAATACTTTTATCGTAGGATCTATTTTTTTCAACTGCACCAATCGAAACCTCTCAGAACATTTAGCGGAAACATTTATTTATCCCGATTCGAGAGGACATAGAAACAGTTTGTGAACATAAACTTGACCTTTTCCATAAGGTGTCGTGCAATTTTTCCCGTTGTTAAATAGAGTAGGTGAATCGAGACGAAGAATTGGTTGAAATCGTTTCCATAAAATATGTAAAGCACAATTAACAGCAATGTAGGTAGCGGTTATTAAATTATGCAAAAACATTCAAATACCAACGGCACGAACAGTTCACTCTATAGACAGATTCTTCAATATCGATAAGGGAACCTTATTAAGAAATTTATTAACAATGCAGGAAGCACGGTATACAAATGAGTTTTTAAACTCTGTTAATATCAGAAGTGAATAATTTATTTAAAGATATGTATAGTCAGTTCGCATGGTACCGACACCAGTTAATAGCAGAGTACAATTACCTCATTTAAATTAGCAGGAACCCGCAGAGGAGATTGTACAGAGTGAATTCGAAAAATGCAGCTTTTCTCGATGCAATTGTATGGGGAAAGTGGGTGCTTCCGCTTGAAAATATTTCTTCACCGATAGGTTTTTTTTAAATAGTCTGGGGCAGCCAAAATGTGCCTATCATTGCACGATCATTTATCAAAGTACATACATTTACACTTGTTGTAATTACCCAAAATTAGCCGCTTCTTGGAATTGTTTTCCTTCATGCAGTGGAGTGCATCGACATTTCTTCAAAAAATCATCGGCACAGTTATAGTTTTCGTAAAAATATAAGAAAATTGCCCAAGCAATTTAAGGAGGAACGCGATTTGCTCCCCGCGAAGGGTTGTTTTATTTACATGGGCAATTTTTGTTATTACCCGCACGCCACTTGCCACCAATTACCTGCCGAAACAATTGAAATTGGGTAATTAAGGAAATTATGGTAGTCGTAGGGAAAATTTACTTTTAATGCCGCTATAACCGCCTCACCTATAGTAGTAATTAAACTGAATAGTGTCATGTAAATGCATGTTGTGCGGCATTTCCGAGTTTTAGCCTTACAATGTTTTCTACATGGGAGCAGTAATACGGTTACTTTTAGTTACTAACATGACTTTCTCAAATTTTACCCGGCAATTTTGCAGCGGCTGCTTTGGAACATATTCGTTTTGTGTGTTTGTAACTGTGGCCGATTTCTGGTTTTAAATATCGAAATTATTATAAGCCAAAAAACATTCTTGATTCTTCATTTCATTCTTTGCTCTACTTCAGTAGTTATTTTCAGTCTTTCTACCTACTCATTATTTTTATTGGTTCCCTTCCTCACAATGAGCTTGTGTTCATTTTCCCACCAGAAAACTCACAGTTGATGGGTCGATTGCTCCGCATATTTGCAACACTCAGAACCCCAAATTTAGCTAATCAGTTACCAAAAAAAGTGTTCAAAACTCGAGTTCCAAACGGATTTGATGGAACATTTGCTTGGGTACAATTTTTGATAAACCACCACTTCCATCATTTGATTATGTTCCTCAGTTTTCCAATGTAAATTTAAGCAATGTCTTCCTTGAGACCTTCTTACCTTCCATTCATTCGCATATTTTGTTCTCCACTTTATCCTGTTGTTAACTGATTTGAAAAATGATGATGAYGATGATGATGAAAAATGATCGTTAGTCGACATAAACCCCGCACAATGGGGGAGTTATGAACCCCATCATGGTATCGTTGGATAGAGAAYCGAAAATGCGATTCAGGCACAACAACATGAGTGAGRAARTTYGAGCASTTTWGACCCAGAAARYKAAATTTGAATATCAGACACTTWGGYGMAAGATTATGCCAAAATTTCATGCTTTTCCTCCTGTTTTTGCTCATTTCTCGGAAGCAAACTGAGCAAGCACGCTCATTTTTACAGAATTCCAGAGAGAACTAAATGGCCTTTTTAGAAAGTGAACCATTGATAAGGAAATGCAGGCAGTTTTCTCAAAAAAGTTTCGATTTCAAAGAGTTTTAGATTTGCGTGCTTTTTCTTTGACTCGCAAAATCGACTCAAACATGACGCTGCTTTTTTCGAAGTTTCTCAGGCCCCGTTTGAGCCACATAATTCGGTTTGGCATCGTTGGAAAGAGAATTGAAAACTCGATTCAGTCGTAACAACTTGAGTTATGAAGTTGGAGTAGTTTTGACTCAGAAAGCGAAATTTGAATATCAGACACTCAGATGCAAGATTATGCCAAAATTTCATGTTTTTTCTCGTGTTTTTGCTCATTTCTCGGAAGCCAAAMTGAGCAAGAACGCTAATTTTTACAGAATTCCAGAGAGAACTAAATGGTCTTTTTAGAAAGTGAACTATCGATAAGGAAATGTTGGCAGTTTTCTCAAAAAAGTTTTGATTTCAAGGAGTTTTACCTTTGCGTGCTTTTTCTCTGACTCGCCAAATTGACCCATTCATGACGCTGCTTTTTTCGAAGTTTCTCAGGCCCCATTTGAGCCACAGAATTCGGTTTGGCATCGTTGGAAAGAGAATTGAAAACTCGATTCAGTCGTAACAACTTGGGTGAGGAAGTTCGAGCAGTTTTGACCCAGAAAGCGAAATTTGAATATCAGACACTTTGGCGCAAGATTATGCCAAAATTTCATGCTTTTTCTCCTGTTTTTGCTCATTTCTCGGAAGCAAACTGAGCAGGCACGCTCATTTTTACAGAATTACAGAGAGAACTAAATGGCCTTTTTATAAAGTGAACCATTGATAAGGAAATGCAGGCAGTTTTCTCAAAAAAGTTTCAATTTCAACGAGTTTTAGATTGACGTGCTTTTTCTCTGACTCGCAAAATCTACTCAAACATGACGCTGCTTTTTTCGAAGTTTCTCAGGGCCCATTTGAGCCACAAAATTCGTTTTGGCATCGTTGGAAAGGGAATTGAAAACTCGATTCAGTCGTAACAACTTGGGTGAGGAAATTCGAGTAGTTTTGACCCAGAAAGCGAAATTTGAATATCAGACACTAAGGTGCAAGATTATGCCAAAATTTCATGTTTTCCGTGCCGTTTTTGCTGATTTCTCGACAGCAAAGTGACCAAGAAGGCTCGCTTTTATAACTAACTGGAAACTAACGGGCCTTTTCAGTTAAGTTAAGGAAATGTTGGCAGTTTTCTCAAAAAGTCAGGAGTCAGGCGAATTAAAAATCGGTTCATCTACTTCATCGGTTCTTATTTTCGCGTTGAAACCCTCTATATTGATGATTTCTTCTTGCCGCTTCAGACTAATTCAACAAATTCTCACTAATTGTTCAAGTTGGGGTTAGCTTGGCTTGGGGGCTGAAGCAGATCGAAATGAGTCGTTTCAAATAAAATCCACTATTGCACCATCACATTTGTGTTATGGGGGGAATCTAAAAAAATCAGCGTTTTTATTTTTTCAGTTGGAACCAAAAAAATGCCAAGAATGGTACGTGACAGCGAGTAGAGGAGATTGCCAGGAGCTGCTGAAGCTGGCCAGAGACGAGCCAAGATTAGTCAACAAAAAGGTAAGTTTCCATATAAAAAGTCAAGAGGTTTTTCCTGATTTTGCGTTAACAACTGCAAAGAATAAACAGCAACGGCAGCCAACCCACCCTTAAACGGTACGAATGGAAATTAAAAACGACACTAAAAGGTTCTAGGATATGCCTAATTAAGTACATGTGTTCCATCTTCGGTTACAGCCGTCATTAGATGAGCAAGACGTATGGGCATGTTTCTAAGTGTTGAAGAAATACGCATTATTAATTATTACATGTGTAACTTTTTCTGACACTAATGCACCATTCTGCTGTGGGAAATGGATCGGTAGTGGTTGCGGCCATTGGGGTTTTGGGGACCCACTGGTGGGACCCGTTATTAGGCAGGTTCATGTTGAAATGCATCAACGGTTCTAGATGATTCAGATTTTCTAATTTTTAAGCAGATTATCGCATGTAAAATCCGGCATACGATCAGCTATTAAGTAGGCACTTTGCTTGCAATTCTTAGTCCCATTACCGAGACGAGTCCATCAAACCTCTCGATATCAGGCCATAAAACAGTTTCTGAGATATTGTATGCAAATCGGCAGGAATATCAAACGGTAGGCTGCATTCGCAAATGGGATTTTTCTACGACTGCAACCACGATCATTTTCACTCGGCGGTAATGATAGCTTTTATGCAGCTTTTTACCGGCAGATAAGTCGTGTAATGGTGTACATTTTGTTTACATAATGTCTTGCCCGCTTATCAGGAATCGGGAATATCTAATGGTTTAATAGTACCAAATTGTTGGGTTGTTCATAGATGGGATTGTTTGATGTGTTGGTTTAATTGGGCGCGCTCGAATGTGACCTTTAACGATCAGATTTAAGACCAGATTGGGGGAGTATCTAGGGCTAAACATTGCAGTTTAGTACGTGACTTTGTGCTTGTCTTCTATTTTCTTCCTGCTGGTTCTTCATATGATTGGCTGTGGCCTGTTGATGTCTGGTATGTTGGCTGGTTGTAGAAAGAGGTAGAAAATGCAACATTTGGACTAGCGAAATGGCTGATTTGACTGAAAAACTAGGAAATAAGTTTACTTTGAATTTGTTCTAAAATCGCTCAGTTCTGGCGCTCAGACATATCGTGCCCTGTATACGAGCGGAGCCCATTCGTGTCGAATAGTCGTTAATCATTTTAAAACAGTGACTGTCGACTCCGATTTTGCTCGACACGAGACTACACGTCCTGTTTTACATAAATGTTCAATTTCAATTTTTTTGAGATGATTTTTATAATGAAATGCCACTGGCGAATTGACCTTCCGACAGGCTTTATGGCCATCGGGATCGTCCATGCCAGAGAATCCAGTTGCACTGTCAACTTCCGTGAGATACTGTGCTGTAGGCACACAGCTGGTGATAATCAGCCAAGAGCCCACTAAAAGATAATTAATCCAATGGCCGTAGTAGATAGGTGAACAGAAATAAAAAAATCTAAATTAATTGCAAAGGGCGTTAATAAATGGCCGAAATGACACCTACAAAAAAACAAACGGAGAAAATCTGGTTCACGTCCACGTGATTTACCGTACGGCCAATCCCACACTGTTTAAATGAGAGCACAGCCGGGACCACCCTGATTTAACGTGCGCTTTTAGCGTCTGTAAACGATAACGTTAAATAAAAATTTGGAAATTTTTTGCCTTTTTGAAGGTTGATCGGTTCAATGAGATTCACGTATTCGTTCCATATCCGTTCTGACTTTGAGGCAATTTATCACTCTGTCATCGCGGGAGTCTGAAGAATGTTAAAAGGCGTCAAACTAGCCGGATTTGACGTACGCATTTGACCGTACTGGCGCCAGCATTCCAAAATGCAATAAATCACCGTGGAATGGCACATTCTGACGATTTTGCCATTGAAATCTGAAACTTTTGTAGGAATTCGCTATGTCCGAGATAACACCGAAACCTCTTTGGGATAATCGATTGCACTTACATAGATAACTCACTGCTCTTAAACTATAATAGTTCAAAGTCCAGCTTGGAAGAGTTTGTTGGTAACGTTGGACTTGGGGTAGGTTTTTTAAAGGCAGCTCTGTATATTCCGGAAAAAATTGATGAGTGTTGGCGCCGTTTAAGCAGGCAGGTGTCAAATTTTAAGGGTCTAAACATCCGTTTTTAGTTATCCGGGCCAATTAACAAGACTCCCGAAAGTTTTTGGTTAATTTGCAGCCATTTAACGACCCTCTCAGGTTTAATTTTTCATTCCCTGCTAAATTATGTATGGTTTGCGAATTGTTGAACCAGGAATTCCAATCAATTTCTCAACGGTATTGAATTTCAGCATTCTTGTGACTGCAGTCGATTATCGATAGCGATAATTAGCAAATTATTAAATATTTCACTGGTGGGGTACTCGTTAAGGAGTTTATTTGAAAAACTCCGGTAAGTTTGTGATTGAACTGAACTGAACTGCTAATGGAACAGGGAAGTTGTGATGTCCGGCGTAATGATAGATAGAAGTGTGTCTGTATTGAAGCCTATAACATAACTTGAAACATATTTTATTCAATACAATAGTTTTGTTTTTTTACAAACTTCTTTTTGGGTGTTTCGCCTCAAAAATTTTTGTCTTAAAAAAAGACAGAATTTCCTCACGTCTTTTATTACAGATTGATAAATAGTGCTCCTATTTC